AAGCGTTCTTTGATAGTCTCTTAGTGAAGACCTCAGAAATATGTCCTGAAGAGCTTCACAATCTTGTGACTCAGCTAATTCTCTCAGATGAAATCAGTGGATATTTATACTGTGGCAAATGATTCAGAACTGCTTAGAGGTAAAGATGGAGCTGCCAATTCCAGACAGAAACTTTGCTCAAGGACTTTTTGCAGGAAACAGAAAAAAAAATGAAATTATGATATATGGAGTTGATGATTAGTAAAATTAATAGATTATAGGAAAAAAGGATGTTAATATGTAATCCTAGAGTAAAAATTTAATATAAGCTTTACTTACATCTGCTGTAAAAGAAGTCGGAAGTCATTATTTTTTTGTATTTCGGTTTCTTTTTTCTTTATCTTTCTGCACTTCTGTTGTTCTTTCTCTTTATTCTTTCTTTTCTTCTACGCTTTTTCTTGATTATTGGTTCTTGTTAGTTTTTATTTCTGATTTTAAAATTTAATACAGTCATTATAAAAAAAAAAGAAACTTTGCTCAAGAGAACCATGGTCTTTTATTTGAAAAGGCTGAAGTTCAAGAACCAATGAGGTAGAACCACTAACATTTCTGTGCCATAGTTCCTTTGCTCTTCTGTCTTCTCTCTGGCTATTAGATTGAAGATCTTCAGAACAAAAAATGCCAGTGCCATGAAAACCTGCAAAAAAACAGTGGTGAAATTGCTGAGTTGAACCGGGCCATCCAAATAATGCAGTGCAAAGTAGATGCTGAGAAGCAAAAGGTCAGAAAATCCTTCTGTTCCCAGATTTGACAGAGGCTTCCTTTGGTACAAGATCAAAACTTAAACATACTGGCTTGCAGTTTAAAATACTGTATAAATGGATTCCCTCTTTTGCTGCCAAAATTGGGGTCAAGCAACAATAATATGGGACTAAAAACTATGTCAAACTGAGGTGGGGAGTAGATGCTGGTAAACTACAATTCACAATCATCCTAATTAGCATGGCCAGTAATGAGGCATGATAGGAGTCATAGTGGGAGCTATATTTGAAAGTTCATAGGTAATTTACAATCTAGTTATAAAATGAGAGTTCTACATCCTTGATATGTGACAATGAAAAACACAAAGGGTGAACTCACTCAGCGAAGATAGCTATCCAACTTCCACGCAAAGGTGTTCCTATGTGGTGGAAGAAGAAATACTTATAATGTTCAGTGTAAACTTTACAGTTCTATTATTCTTCAGTGGTTCAGATTTTAAACTGGGCTGGAGAAAAATTCAATTCTTCCTACCATCCATCCACCAAGCAATCAAATTGTTGCTCTTCCCTGCATGGTTCCCCAAGCTCCATCCCAGAACCCAGCCATGGGGTGTGAGAAGAGGGCTAATTGCCAATTATTGCTGCCAGATACAATAGTGGTTATGGTGGGGGGCAGGTGAGAGGAGACTTCAGTATCAACTGAAAATAAGGTTGTGGGGGCAGAGAGCATAAAAATAATTTTTGCAGTTTTGTGAATGGAAGATGGAATTTATTGTTCTGTTCTGTTCTGTTCTGTTCTGTTCTGTTCTGTTCTGTTCTGTTCTGTTCTGTTCTGTTCTGTTCTACTCTACTCTACTCTATTTTTTCAGACTACTGCTTTGCAAGTAGCCATTGGGGATACTGAACATAATGGAGACCGTGCTCTAAAAGATGCCCGAGCAAAGCACATAGAACTTCAGAATCGCATGCAGAATTCCAAGGATCAGTTGGCTTCCATCTTACGGGATTACCAGGAACTCATGAATACCAAATTGGCCCTGGATATTGAGATTGCAACATACAAGACAATGCTGGAGGGAGAAGAGAACAGGTGAATCTCACAAACAATCTCAAACTAGGACAGATTGTTTTACTTACTACTTCATTGTCCGTAGCAGCAGCCACCCTGTGGGGTGGTGGGGAGTGGGGGAGGAAGTTAAACGTCTCAGTCTGACAAAAGAGGCAGCCATTGCAATACAAAGCCTGCCTTCTTTTGTATGTTTGTCTTGGCATCACACAGATGTCCCAAATGGGGTGGAGCTTGCAGTGCAATGCAACAGGATCTCACCCAACTGTTGTGCTACAAAAACTAAATGAAGACAAGCTTTTAATTGCCTCAATGTGGCTGAGTTACATTAGAAGACTCATTAGATATCATTAGTGGGGATCCTGTCTGGAACATCCTATTCTTCGTCATAAAATGTGTTCAGCCACTACAGTGATGTCTGTTTATTCACGCAGCTTAGACAGGAGGAAGTATCAGTGTGTCCCCACCTGCAGC